GTGAGTGAGATGAGTAAACACATGTTGATATTTAGTCTAGAACTACAGTAAGATCATGTTCACACACAACGCTCTGCACTTACTCCTGATTTCTGTCACCATGGCAACACCAGAGCTGTCACTCAACACATGGAAACAAAGTAACTAGCGTTACTTATTTGAAAAATAACTCAGATACTTCCTTCTAAATTAAAAAGTAATGCATTACTTTACTAGTTACTCAAAGTAATCTGATTGTGTAACTTGTAATGCGTTACTCCCAACACTGTCATTCAGTCTGTGTGTGTGTGTGTGTGTGTGTGTGTGTGTCAGTGCTGGTGAAGGGGCAGGTCACCACCAAGTATTACCGGATGCTGGCCAAACACGGCGGTGCATTTGACTGTTTTTATTGATTGTGAGGAACACTGAATGTGTTTGTGTGCAGTGAGATGAGTAAACACATGTTCATATTTAGTCTAGAACTACAGTAAGATCATGTTCACACACAACGCTCTGCACTTACTCCTGATTTCTGTCACCATGGCAACACCAGAGCTGTCACTCAATACATGGAAACAAAGTAACTAGCGTTACTTGTTTGAAAAATAACTCAGATACTTCCTTCTAAATTAAAAAGTAATGCGTTACTTTACTAGTTACTCAAAGTAATCTGATTGTGTAACTTGTAATGCGTTACTCCCAACACTGTCATTCAGTCTGTGTGTGTGTGTGTGTGTGTGTGTGTGTCAGTGCTGGTGAAGGGGCAGGTCACCACCAAGTATTACCGGATGCTGGCCAAACACGGCGGCTGGGTTTGGGTGCAGAGCTGCGCCACCATCGTTCACAACAGCCGCTCGTCTCGGCCGCACTGCATCGTCAGCGTCAACTACGTCCTCACGTGAGTCGCCTTTCACCTCCAGCACAGCACTTCTGTAGGATTCATGAAGGGAAATATACAACTCTTTAAAGCCCCAAACACACTGCACGATTTCCGGCTGTCCCAGACAAAAGATTGGCATCGTGAAACAATCGTGGCTCCTAATCTCATGTCGTACAGTGAGAGAGGTTCAAAGACAGCTATTGTCACGGTCTTGCGACCAAAGATAGCCTAGGATACAGCATGATCATCGCACAGTGTGTTTGCTGCTACTATCCACGTTTACTGACCAACCAATAAAAATGCGACATGAAATCAACGCGACATGGCG